CATTGCATTGAGCATTTCCTGCACAAGGGTTGGGATTGCATCTGTCTTGAGGAGGTTCATCTTTTGATGGGATAAAATTTAGATTAGCTTCCATTGAGCATGGGTTTTCTTGGATAAGGCAAGACGATACAATGAAAATTTTCAGCGAGAAATTTTGAAACAAGCTCAAGCTAAACCCATTCAAAGTCATATTATATATAAGCGAAAAATCCTTTCCTTGGTGTTTTTCGAGCTTATTTCAACTAATCGCTGAAAAATCGTCATGTATACAAGACAAAAGTGAAATTACATTTCGGTGAGATTGGATCGCATCGATCGAATGCGTTTCCAGTAAAGCCTTCAAGACAGGTACAAACAGGAATGTGGTTAACGACGCTGCATTGAGCTCGATACGCGCAAGAGCCAGGGCATGGATCGATACAATGGTTTCGCACACATGCTTTGTTACTTGGACACTCATTATTTAGAACACATTCGTGGTGGCAATTTGGTGGTGTTCCATAATAACTTGGCAAACAAGAGCATTGCGGATAGTCGCCAATTGCTTGGCATTGTGAGTACTGTCCGCATGGATTAGGATAGCATGGGTTGTGAGCCGGTTGTGCGACTGGTGTATCTCTTGGAGCTAAAATTTAGTATAGACGAGAGAGTAAATTGAGGATATATCGAATGAAAGGTAAAATGTTTTATCATTCACGGGGGAGAACATACGTGGTGGAATCGGGCTACAAATAGTGAATGGATTTCCTGTGTTACCATTTCTGCATGTACATATCGGGCTGTGGTTATTAACTCGGCATTCAGCATTCGTTCCGCAAACGTTTGATGCGCAAGGGCTAACGCATTTATAATTAACACAAGCTTTATCAAGTGGACACTCAGATGAAACAACACATTCTGGCCTGCAATTTGGAGAGCTTCCAATGAAACCAGGCGAGCATATGCAAATCGGCACTCCATTATTACTTCTGCATTGACTGTTCGCGCCACAAGGATTGCAGCCATGGCCGCACGGATTTTGTTGACATTCATCAACAACTTTCGCCGCTATTTATCCAAAGGGGGAAGTATTTTGGGTGATTTAAAATATGGGACAGATTAGCATCAATCAAATCGCAACAGAACGAAAATTAGGGGAAATTTTGTGATCGGTTAATTGTATTTGGAAAAGGAGAGACACCAAATTTCAAGACGAGACAAAATGAAAAAAAAATATTGTGATTATTCGTTAGTGAGTTGAATTAGACAGTTTGCATTTCGAGTTGTTATTGATTCGAAGGCGGACCAGTTATTTTTGAAACAGTGAGCTTTTCTGACGATTTGATTTCAAGATTGAGTTTCACATTTCGCAAGACTTACGTTCATGTTCAATAAAACGACAGTGACTATAAGGATCTCCCGTATAACCAATTCTACAGGTACACGATGCCAAGTGATTGACAACTCGGCATTCAGCGTTTTGAGTGCACACACCTGGGCATGGATCTTGGCATTTATTTCTAACACAGGCTCGGTTCGATGGGCAATCTGAGTTAACAACACACTCTGGCCGACAGCCTTCGTATGGATTGCCATAATAGTCAGGTAAACATTGACACGAGCCTGCACCGTTTTGTTCACGGCAAACAGCGTTCGCGGCACATGGGCTTGGGACGCAAGGATTCAATTGTTCTCGAATTGGATCGGCTGGAATTTAAGGATCAGTATTCAATTTTTCAAATTTCACAAAAATTTGGATTGGTTAATTCACGGAAAGCGAGTGAGTTGCGGTTGATTATTGTGGTGGTGGTTTTTAGGATTGGTTCACAGTTGCCATTAGAGAGTTTTAGGTTTGCTTCATTTAGACAAGATAAAAGAAGAGACTTTGAGACCCAATGTTGTTATTCATTACAAGTATCACGGATTTTTGTTTAAACATTTTTTTAGTTCAGATTGTGTTCAAGTATTTCATAACGGACAAAAAATGTCGTCGTAGTGAGAAATATTTTAGATTGTGCATTTGATTAAAATTGCACTTAAAATTTAAAAAAATCCACTTAAACCTAATATATACACATATCAGTCTTTTTTCTTTGGTTTTAAATCGGTGATGAGATCCGTTTCCTCATTTAAATTCCATAAGCGAAGCTTTTTTGAATTAAAATTGCATTTGAGTGCATTATTATTTGTACTGAAACTTCCCGCGTGAGAAGTGTTTCCGTTGTTTTAATAGAAGGCATTTCAGCGATGTTACGCGCAAGTGAATGAAAAAAAACGGGGTACTTACCTTGCACTGGAATCCGCACACAACCTTGGAATGGATCTCCGGTGTATTGATTATCACATGTACATGATGGCGTATGATTGATTACGGTGCACTGTGTATTGATACCACATGATCCTGGGCATGGATCAACACATTTTAGATTCATACAGGCCTGATGAGCTGGACACTCGGAGTTTATCGAACATTCTGGACGACAATTTGGCGGTGATCCCAGGTATGTTGGCAAACATGAACAGGCTGGACTTTCGTTGATGACCTTACACTCTGAATGGGGTCCGCATGGTGTCGGTATGCACGAATTGATAGGCTTATCAGGTGGTGGTGGAAGTGGTTCATAGCATCGAGTAAATGGATCACCAGTGAGGCGAGCTGCACAACTACAGATCGGTCTATGATTGATTACTTGGCATTCTGAAGAGAGGGGAAAAGCCACACAATTAATTCATGAATCATTTTCATAAAAGAATAAAATGAATAATTGCTTTAAAAACTCACCAGCATATTGACCGCACGTTCCGATGCAAGGATCAACACATTTTTGATTGACACAAGCTCTCTGTAAATCACATTCGGCTGTAACAACACATTCTGGCTTGCAGTTTGGTGGCGCACCAATCATATTTGATTGACAAGCGCACACAGCCACACCATTTGCAACACGGCAAACGGAATTCAATCCACCTGTTGGAAAATGAATGTGATTCAGTTTTGAAACATGTTATTAGAATTCGACAAAGATTCAAAATATTTGTTTTGACAAAATCGGACAATTATTTGGTTAAATTTCCTTTTCTCAAGTGCAAAGATTTTGTAATGAATTCAAATGAGTCACAATGACTTACATGGATTTGGATTGCAAAGATCTAGCGGTGTGTCATCGGGTCTTATTTTGCAAGCAACGAATGGATTGCCAGTAAATCCTGGTGGACAAGCGCAGCTTGGGATATGATTTGAAACATCGCAAATGGCTTGAGTTCCACATGTGCCTGGACATGGATCAACACATTTGTTATTGATGCACGCTTTGTTCGGGCTACATTCCGTGTTCATTGTGCATTCTGGTCGGCAACCGACATACGGATCACCATGATAATCCTTTACGCAAGTGCAAACAGCATTGTCGCACAAGGCATTGCTTCCGCATGGGTTTGGATCACATGGGCTATATGGTGGTGGACGTTCTTTTGGTGGTTCGTAGATTTCAATGCACTGTGTGAATGGATCGCCGGTAAAACCACTTCGGCATGTACAAATCGGAATATGATTTTGAATACGGCACTCTGAATTGAAGCCACATGATCCTTCGCATGGATTGCGACAACGTTCAGCAATACACGATTTATCTGACGGACAATCAGTATTGACCACACATTCGGGTCGGCAATTTGGCGGTGAGCCAAAGTAATTTGGTAAGCATGAGCATGATGGCCGATCATTGATCGGTCGACATTCCGCGAAATTTCCACATGGCGAAGGGAAACATGGGTGTGAGGCTGGTCTTGGAGCTGGTTCAACTTCTGGTGGTTTTGGATAACATCTAACGAATGGATCTCCAATCAAATTCGATGGGCAACTGCAAATCGGATTGTGATTGATTACTTGACAGTTTGCTCCGACGCCACACGTTCCAACACACGGGTTGGAGCATTTGAATTTATGGCACGCTTTGTTTGATGGGCACTCGGAGTTGGCTGTACATTCCGGTCGACAATTTGGTGGAGTTCCAATGTATTGATCGACACATGAACAAACCGCAACACCATTCACTTCATGGCATATGCTGTTGGGGCCACAAGGTGAGGGACGGCATACGTCAATTGGTACTTGTGGTACTGGTTCTTCATATCGTTGACAAGCTGTGAATGGATCACCGGTGAAACCATTGTGGCAAGTGCATGTTGGCACATGATTGACTGGTGCACATTCGGCATTCTGTCCGCACACGCCCGGGCATGGATCTCGGCATTTTTGATTTATGCAAGCCTTATCCGATGGACAATCCGATGCGAGCACACATTCTGGTCGACATCCTTCGTATGGATTTCCATGATAGCCTTCGATACAGCGACAAGCGCCAACATTATTGCGATGAATGCATTCAGCGTTCGATGCGCACGGGCTTGGTTCGCATGGATTGATTTCTTCGTGTTCTTGAATGATACACTGAACAAATGGATTGCCAGTATGACCAGTTGGACAAACACATGAAACGGTATGACTAATAACATGGCATTCGGCTCCCGTACCACATGATCCTTCGCACGGATTCTGGCACTTTTTATTTATACATGCCAATTGAGCTGGACAATCGGCATTGATCACACATTCTGGTCTGCAATTCGGTGGTTGTCCAATGTAACCGCTGATGCATTGACATGATGCGGTCTCACCAACTGCGTGGCATTTGCTGTTCGAACCACATGGATTGCATCGATCTTGGCATGGATCAGCCAAACATGGATTTACCCTTTCATGTGGCTCTTCGTCATGTCGTACGGGTGTACAACTTCGGAACGGATCTCCTGTTTCACCAGGTTTACAACTACAAATTGGCGAGTGATTGATCACTTCACATCTTGCATTTACGCCACAAGTTCCAATGCAGGGATTAATACATTTCTGATTGATACAGGCCTGCGTTGGTGCACATTCCGAAGAAACAACACATTCTGGACGACATTGTGGCGACGTACCAATGAATCCTGGTAAACATGAGCACACCGCATGATCGCTGACATCGCGACATCGACTGTTTGCCTGTTTAATGAAGATATGAAGGGAAATCAATGAGTATTTTGCTTTTAGAAATCAAACGAATTGACCAAAACAATTTTATATAATATTTTATTTGGTAATAATGGTTCAAAGTTTGAACAAGTTAAAATTACCCCGCATGGTGATGGATTGCAAACGTCGCCAATTGGCGGTGTTGGAACCACATCTGGATGGCAGTTTGTGAATGGATCTCCCGTGTATCCCTGTGGGCAAGTGCAAATTGGAATATGATTCACAACTTCGCATAAAGCATTCTGACCGCATGTTCCAACACATGGATTGATGCATTTATAGCGCAAACAAGCTCGATCTCGACTACATTCTGCATTATTCGTGCACTCCGGTCGGCATCCTTCGTATGGATTTCCTTGATATTCGGCAATACATCTACATTCATTGCCAATACATTCAGCATTTGGTCCACATGGCTGTTCACTGCAGAAATCTCTCTGTTCTGTAGGCGGTTCAACATGTACTATCGGTTTGCATTGCACGAATGGATCACCTTCATATCCATCATTACATGTACAGATCGGAACATGATTCAAGACATGGCAAGCTGAAAAGAAAACATTTAAATTTGACGAACATATATTAAAAATATGTTTATATATATACATGTCTCTGTGAAATATATGTCTTTACTTACTTGCTTCAAATCCACATGATCCAGGGCATGGATCTTTGCATCTTTGTTGAATACATGCCTGTTGACCGGGGCATTCGCTGTTAAGAACACATTCTGGCCGACAATTCGGTGGCATTCCAATGTAATTTTCCAAACATGAGCATGCTGGACTACCGGAGATCATTTGACACTTTGAATTGGGTCCACACGGCGACGGTGTGCATGTTGGTGGTGGTTCTGTTGGTATTGGTTCGATTTTCTGGATTCGCGTACATTGTTTGAATGGATCACCGGTGAAGCCGTTCGGACAAGCACAAATTGGATTGTGGTTGTTTGAGTGACAAACTGAGCCAATACCGCACGAATTCGGGCATGGATCAGCACATTTCTGATGGATGCAAGCTCTATCCGATGGACATTCACTATTTACAACACATTCTGGTCGACATTTTGGCGGTGTACCAATGAAACCAGATGCACAAGAGCACACAGCTTGTCCAGCATTATCACGGCAATTCGAGTTCGGTCCGCACGGTGATGGTGAACATGGGAATTTGCGTTCTTCGGGTCGTTTTGTTGGTATTTCTCGGCATTCCAAGAATGGATCCCCCGTTAAACCGTCCGGGCAAGTACAGGTTGGAATGTGATTTGCAACATGGCACAATGCGTATGTTCCGCAAATGCCAATGCAAGGATCAACGCACTTGTATCGAACACAAGCCGCTCGGCCATCACAATCTTCATTGATTTCACACTCACGATGACATCCGCGCTCCTTGTCGTATGGATTGCCCATATCGAAACCAGGCAAGCAATAACATGCACCGGCACCATTTCGTTCACGACACTCCGCATTAATTCCACACGGCGATGGTTGGCATGGCGTTGATTCCGGTTCAACTGGTACTATTTCATTGTGGAAAACACATTTATTAGTATCGAATTTACCCAACCAAACATTTTCATTGGCAATGAAAATGTAAAAAAATCTGCCTTCAAATATCGAAAAGTCCAAGCCAAAATTTAAAATAAAATATCAATTCCAATCCAGTGTAATAGAAAAAAAGGATTCCAAACTTTACATATTACATGCATTTTGTTGCAATTTGTTCTATCATTTTGTTCGGTTTATATTTACATGTGTTCTATATAGTACAAATTATCCGAAAATTGCTAAAATACCAAAAAAAAAAATTTGATTCAACAAATTACTTTAAATATTTACAGAGCAGATCTTTTTGCAGTGATGTCATACAAACCATTTTTTTGCTTTGTGATACTACACAATACCCATTTTGAAATTGTGTATTTACACATTACTAAACTAAAACGCTTAAAAACGTCAGCGAACGGTGTTATTTTACATTGATAATTTACATACACGTATTAAATTATTATTGTTTAGGAATTTAAAAATGGTTGGGTTAGCGATTTGATGGAATCAATCATTGTTCCAAACATTGAATTATATTGGTTAAAATGATGATAAACAATTATTGCCGTTCGTTGACGATATTTTAAGCTGTGCTCAATCGTATTCGAAAATTGAATATTTCGTTTTGATAGGTCAATCGGTTCAAATAGAATATTAATCATCGAATACGATCGCATTTTCTTAGGAGGGATATGTTTAGGGAAAAAATTACGTATTAAGGTTCTTACATGGAACAACGATTACTGTACATCGTGTAAATGCATCGCCTTCGTATCCAGAAATGCAATTACATTCAGCATTATGTTTAACTACATTACAAACGGCGTTTTCACCGCATTTGCCTATGCATGGATCGATGCAACGGTCATTTATACATGCTTTGTTGCTGGCACATTCTTCATTTGATGTGCATTCGGGCCGGCAATTTGGCGGCCGTCCTAAATAATTCGGTAAACATGAACAAGCGCCCTGATTTCCAATAACACGGCATTGCGAATTCGGTCCACATGGATTGTTTAAACAAGGGTTTAGATCATCTCTTTGAGTATAATTGGCTACAAAATGGAGAATTGGGGGAGTTATTCAAGGGAATTCACGTCAATTTTTAAATCAATCCGACTTTTTTTTCGACGAAAATGTGATTAAAGTTCTGCGTTTTAAGTTCTGTTTCTTTTATGGACAATTTCTAGGGTGATAGCTCGATGAAGAGGAAAGATTCTCAAAAGCACACATTTCTCAAAACTCTTTCGAAAGTGATCCTATTCGCAGAACTCTATTCACAAAATCGGAAATTGATTTGAGAAATTATACAAAGGACGGACAGGGTGGCTGACTGATCTTACTTTGGATTTGAATGCATTGTTCGAATGGGTTACCAGTGAAACCTTTGGAGCAGCTACAGATTGGATTATGGTTGACTACTTTGCAAATGGCATTATGGGCACACGTTCCGGGTGTACATGGATTGCCACATTTTTGATTATAGCATGCTTTATCTTGAGGACAGTCGGAACTAACAACACATTCGGCTCTACAATTTGGTGGCATTCCAATGTAGCCCGGTTGGCATGAGCACACTGGATGCTGATTCTTTTCATGGCAAATACTGTATGGTCCGCAGACATTGGGAGAACATATTTGAGGTGGAGTCGTTGCTATAAAGGATAATCATATTTACAAATTCCGGTTAGGCTCATCTCGTTTATACAATTTTTTTCTTCTCTTCTGAATTCGAGCCATTCAATTGAGCCGTTGTTATCAACAAGTCAAACCAATGATTTGAGGTAGCATAACGTTTGCGTTTTTCGTTCACATGTTACACATAAACCATGGAGAAAACGAAATGAGGGAATTTGAAGCTGCATCAAATCACAGCAATTTCAAGTTGAGACAAAAGTCGAATTTTGAAATGACGAAATTCAGAAGAGCACAATTTGGTTTTTGGTTCCAGAATTGGAAACTTACGGATTTCGATTGGAGTACAAGAGATAGCCGGATTTCCGGTGAAACCGTTATCACAGAAGCAATTTGGTGCATGATTTCGAACCGTACAAACTAAAAACAAACAAAGGAAATTTCAAATTCGTTTGCAAACGATGACGACGTCATCAACAACACGCTTGTGACGTGCGACTTACTCGCATTGACTGGGCAAACGCCGGGGCATGGATCTTTGCATTTATTATTTACGCAGGCTTTCGATTGATCACATTCGGAATTTTGTACACATTCTGGTCTACATCCAGTGTATGGATCTCCATAGTATTCTGGTAAGCAAGTGCATGAACCAACGTCATTCTGTTCTTTGCAAATGGCATTAGCTCCGCATGGCGAAGGTGAACATGGGCTCTTTGGTGGTAGCGATGGCACTGGGGAATTCAATTCGAACATTTTTTTTAGAATGTGATTATTCAATCGGTGATCGAAGAAAAATGACGAAAATATGATGTATTGAATAATTTTCATTCCGAAATGGGAAAATTTGTCGAAATAAGAAGCAGAAAAAGCAATGAATGAATAAATGTATAAAATAATAGTAGAGAGGAGTCTTACATTTAGGAATTTCTGTACAACCCGAGAATGGATCGCCAGTGAAACCATGATCACACTGACAGATAGAATTGTGATTTATAACCGTACAGAATGTATGTATACCACATGCACCCACACATGGGTCGCCACACCGCTCATTTATACATGCTAAATTGGCCGGGCATTCGGCCGAGTGAATGCACTCGGGTCGACAGTTTGGCGCCCGTCCAACGTAATTAGGTAAACATGAACATGCAGGCGTATCACCGACAGCGCGGCACTGACTAAACGGACCGCAGGGATTGTTGATACAAGGATTTCCGCTTGGTCTTGGTGTAACTACAGCTGTTGCTACAGTATATTCAGATAGAGAGAGAGAGAGTACAGAGGAGCAAAGAAAAATAGCAATTTACAAATAGAGTTCATCATGCAAATTTGAGAGCAGGAAAGGAACTAACAGCTTTTTATACTGCGTGAAAACAATCAATCAAATTTTATACTCTACACACTCAATACTAATTTGAGCTTTTGCTTAGATTGAATATTTTTCCAAAGTATAAATTGCTGCACGGGCATGCACTTACGTTGTACTACACAGCGAATGAAAGGATCACCAGTATAACCAGGCGAACATGAACAGATTGGATTGTGATTAACGACATGGCATCGGGCGTGTTGTCCACATGTGCCAATGCACGGATCAACACATTTACTATTTATACAGGCTCGATTCTGTGCACATTCGGCACTAATCATACATTCAGGTCGGCAATTTGGTGCACTGCCAATGAAACCTGGTAAACATGAGCAAACCACATGCTCGCTCACAACACGGCACTGACTATTCAAACCGCACGGGTTTGGTTGGCACAATTCGGTAACATCGTGGTGTTCTAATTGGGAATTCAAAAATTCGTTGTAATGAAAGAGTTCAAGCGAGAACATTTCCACTTGAAAGAGTTTCACAATGAGAGTGAGGAAGTGTGAAGAAAATGACGAAGAATATGCATAAAAATATGGTTATTTGATCAAAATTGGAGAATAATACTGAAATTTGGTTAACTCTTTCAAGTGAAAATTCCGAAGACGGTTCATTATTGGGACGATGTCTTACTAATTGGAGGTTGTTCTTCTCTATGGCATCCAGTCAATGGATTTCCTACGTAGCCAATCATACAATGGCAAGTTGGTACATGGTTAGCAACGCGACATTCAGCGTTCAATGCACATACACCGGGGCAGGGATCTTTGCATTTATTATTGAGACAAGCCAAATGGCTGGGGCAATCGCTGTTTATAACGCATTGTGGTCGACAACCACTGTATGGATCGCCGAAATATTCCGGCAAGCATTTGCATGCACCAGCACCGCTCTTCTCAATACATTCAGCGTTAGCACCGCATGGATTTGGTGCACAGGGATGTTGAACTTCGTCGCGAATGACTGTTGAAAATGAATGATAATTTGGTAAGAAATATTCGTTTTTTTTTTAAAGAAAAACGCAGACAAGGACAAACAAGCCATTAATTTTCACGCGCACAAGAAAAATATTCAATAAAATATCGCAACTGGTTAATCGATCAAGAATTTCATAAACAAATCTGTTTTTTTTTGCCCAGGTATCTAAAAAATTGGTTTTTGATATCGAGAAAAAAATAGTGTTTCCGAATTTTGAAGAGTAAATGCAGAAAAATTTGGAAAAGCAAAAGCCATGCATGGAGAACAAAGCATATTGAAGAAAAGGCTTAAGAAATAGTTAAAAATTATTAAAAGTGCATAGTCAACTTAACAAATTATGAACGAAAAGAATAAATATTTACACGAGCTACGGACTAAATATGTGCGATATATGTATACTAAATGCTAAATTTCAGTTTAAATACACGATTAGTAAGTAAGAAACGAAATACAAGAGTTAGACAAAAAGCTATTTGCATGCGCACTAAAACTAAAATTCTTACTTGGTATTGGATAACATCCAGAGAATGGATCACCCGTATAACCACTATCGCAAGTACATACAGGTGAGTGATTTAAAACGCTACAGTATGCTGAAATACCACAGCTGCCCGGACACGGATCATTACAGCGTTCGTTGATGCATGCTCGGTTTGCCGCACACTCCGAATTCGAAGTGCACTCGGGACGACAGTTTGGCGCGCGTCCAATGTAATTCGGCAAACATGAGCATACAGCGGTCGAACCAATTTCGCGACACTGTGAAAATGGTCCGCACGGATTTGGCACACATTTTGGCCGTTCCGGCTCAACATACACAGGTCGTTCTACATAGGTGTGTTTACATTTTGATAGATTGTAGACATTTGTATTTGTACAATAGAAAAAGAAATTGGAAAAAAGAAAGCAAAATACTTAAATAAAAACATGCTCTAAAATAGAAAAGCCGCAAAGCTAATAGAAATATATACAGCGTTTAACACGTTTGCATTGTGTTTGAAGTGCATTGTTTGAAAAGCGCGAAAACTGTGTGTGATTTTGCAAAAAAAAAAGTGTTCATCACTCAAAAAACGAAGAAAAAAAAACGGTGAAAACATCAAATCATGAACTATCGCTTCCAACACGCGATGGAGCTATTCAGAGAAAAAAAAACTTGCAACGCATCCCCAAACCAAATGCAAATGTGTGAAAGTGCCGGAGAAAGCTTACTCTCTTCAGGAGTGCATCGAACAAATGGATCACCCGTATAACCCAAAGGACAACTACAGATAGGATTGTGATTGATAGCATGACAACGAGCCTGATCACCGCACGGACAAGAAGCACAAGCATCGACGCACTTATGATTTATACACGCTCGATCGGGCAAACAATCGGAATTGATTGTACACTCGGGCCGGCAAGCTGGCGGACTGCCAATGTAATTTTCAAGACACGAACAAATCGCATGATCGTTTATCTCTTTACATTGACTGTAAGGTCCACACGGCGATGGGTGGCACAACTGAACCTCTGGCTTTTCAGGTACTAATTTGACAAAGGACAAACAACATTAGTCAATGGTGAAAACGAGAACCAACGAAGATCAATTTGAATGTGAAGCAAAAACGTACGTCTTGGAATTTCATAGCAACCAATCGATGGATTTCCAGTATATCCCGACGAACAAGTGCACAACGGCGAATGATTTACAACGAAACATTCAGCATTCGATGAACAAACTCCGACGCATGGATCAACACATTTTAGATTGAAACAAGATTTCGTCTTTGGACAATCGCTATTCATCACACATTCTGGCCGACATTCAACGTATGGATCACCATAATATTCTGGCAAACAAGTACATGCACCAGCGTTGTTTCGTTCATGGCACTCAGCATTGATTCCGCATGGACTGGCTTGACAAGCAGTCACCTCTGGCTCGTGATAAACTAAAACAATGGCAAGGCAACGTGAATTTCCAAATTCGAAACGACGAAAGGAGTAAATAACGAATGAACCATTTGGCACAGCAGAAGAAACCATAATGTAATTCAACCAGATGCAATTTTCCATTAGAAAGACGACATTGACTTTTTTTCTAATTCCCATTCCCCTACCAATAGCTTCTCTTGCCGTTCCAAACAAGTTCATTTGTTATTTTCAATTACTTGGAATCGGAGCGCAAGCGACGAATGGATCGCCAGTATACCCATCGGGGCATCGACAGATCGGTTGGTGATTATAAACATTGCAGGTGGCTTGAGATGAGCAAACACCAATACAAGGATCGACACAACGTTCATTTAAGCAAGCCAAATTTCGTGAACATTCCGAATTGGTAACACATTCAGGTCGACAATTTGGCGCTCTTCCGATATAATTTGGCAAGCATGAACATACGGGTGTTTCGCCGACTTCTCGGCACTGCGAATTGGGGCCGCACGGCGTTGGGACACAGCCAGCAATCGGCGTGATTGGTACAATTGGATGACCTAACAAACGATTTATAGAGGTTTTGAATTGCCATTCGACGTTGAGCGAATTTCGATTGTTCTTACGTATTTCTTCTTTGATACATCTAACAAATGGATCGCCACTGTAACCTAGCTCACAGCTACAAATTGCATTATGATTAACCACTTGACATCTTGCATTCAATCCACAAACTCCTTCGCATGGATTTTTGCATTTTTGATTGATGCACGATCTATCGAGAGCACATTCAGAACTGACCAAACATTCTGGACGACAATTTGGTGGTGCACCGATCATATCCGGTAAACAACTGCATACAGCGTGATTATCGAGCTCACGACATTGACTGTTAAAACCGCACGGCGTTGGCGAACAAGGCGTTTCGATTGGAGTGGCTTGAACTGGATTTTTGTATCAGAGACGAAGATTTTTCGATTAGAAGAGTGAACTGAAGGAAAACAGCGAAAGAGGGGAATAACTCTTTGAAATGATACTCAATCGACGAAGATATGGAAAAAGGCGAAAATCTCAAATTTTTCGATAAGAATTGAAGTTGAATTTATTTTGAAATAGTTCAAAAACCAATTGGTCTTCATCAGCCCAACGTCAATTGTGCATCATTTGCAAAGCAGTTATGCCTGTCTGAACGACATCTTACCCGGTGGCAAAGCACAAGCGACTAGCGGATTACCGATATAACCTTCAAGACAACTACAAATTGGCGAATGATTGATGATATGACAGAAGGCGAGCTCGCCACATGTTCCCGGACATGGATGTTGGCATTTGTTGTTTATGCAAGCACGATTCGATGGACATTCAGAATTTGAAACACATTCAGGTCGGCATTCAACATACGGATCACCATAATATTCAGGTACACATTTACATGACCCAACGTCATTGCGTTGTTCGCATAATGCATTAACTCCACAGGGTGATGGATGGCAAGGCTGAGATGGTTCTTCGTCTTATTGTTCAGGAATGTACAACAGAAGATGTGAGTAAAAATTGTTCAAAACGAAACCAACGCAGATATTGGAATAGATTCTTACATAGAATGATCTGACTACATCCGGTGAACGGGTCGCCAGTGAAACCACCGTTGCAAATGCAGTGCGCTCTGTGATATAGAACTGTGCAGTGAGCATTGGGCCCACAAGTTCCCTCACATGGATTTTTGCATTTGTCACATACGCAAGCCAACGTTGTTGAGCAGTCTTCATCCATGATACACTCTGGTCGGCAATTTGGTGGCCGACCGATGTAATTTGGCAAACACGAACAAACGGCTTGAGAATTATGAACTCTGCATACGGCATTTGGTCCACATATATTACCATCGCATGGATTTAGAACAGCAATTGGATAAACTGAGATCGTAGGAAATCGAATGTTATTTTACTGATCGAAAGAGTCAACGGATTCATAGGCAATTGAAAGATGCAACCATTATTTGCAAAATGAATCTTTTCTCTGGTGGCTTTTTGAACAAATAATTGAACTTTTCGAGTTCTCAACAATAAAACAATAAACTTTTCAGGACCATTATTTCCAAATCTAATACGAATCTAAATTTGAGGCTTTTTGGCTTTACATCAATACAAAAATTCCCGATTTATGTGCCAAAGATGGAAAAAATGTAGCATCTTTCAATTTTCTGAACGCGTGACTTACTCGGCTCTGGAATAGGGACACAACGAGTGAACGGATCACCGGTAAAACCCGGAGAACATGAACAAATTGGATTATGGTTCACAGCACGGCACATAGCGCTCAAACCGCAAATACCCGGACAAGGATCGACGCATTGTTGATTAATACAGGCTCTGTCAAATGGACATTGAGCGCTGATCATACATTCTGGATGACAATCCGGTGGTGCCCCCAAGTAACCAGCTAGACAAGAGCAAACTGGATGATTTTCAACAACATGACAATCGCTGTACAACCCACATGGTGATGGTACACATGGATTGTCTTTTGGTAACGGCAAATATGCTTTTGAATTGAAAAAAACAAACAAACAAACAAACAATTACGTATACCATTCAAATATCGCGTAGAAAAAAAAACACCCACGATGACCACGACTTACAATTATCTGGAATCGGATGGCAACCGAACAGAGCGTTTCCAGTATAGCCAGGGATGCAATAGCACATTGGAGCATGATTGACGACGGAACATTCGGCATTCATGCCGCACGCATTTTCACACGGATCGACACACTTGGCATTGATACAGGCAAAATTACATGGACAATCAAAGCTTTGTAAGCATTCCGGCTTGCAGCCAAAGTAAGGATCACCGAAATAGTCTTGCATGCAAGTACACGAACCAACACCATTATGTTCTCTACACACCGCGTTCGCGCCACATGGCGTACTCGAACACACATCCAGTGGCGTATACAAGACAACTACCGCACCAATAATAAGCAAGCACGAAATAGAAGTTGAAGAGAGTGGACAAAATATATATATAAAAGAAAAAGAAATAGAAAAAATAGGTGTGAAGAAAGAGCTATTTACACATGCAATACACTTAAAACTAAACTATAGATAACATGAGATCCTGTCTGTCTGATGATCTTGCGATTGCTATCTGAAAAGTTTGCTCATTTTTTTCATGCGGAAATATAAAATTTACAAAAGATTGCATTTATGCTAGAAATACTCGTTCGAGTTGAAAGTATGCACGAAATTCAATGATTCATCCAAGATAAGTCAATTTATTTGGAGCAATCACAAATGTATTTAAAATGAAAGCGATTGATTGTTTGTAGTTTCATTGAATTTTTTGCACACTTTCAAACACTCGATTCATCCCGTTTGATCAAGTAAATGGTGCGAAAATACAGTGAAAACAGGTGAAAAATCTATGATAATAAAAAACAGTTCAAAATATTTCCATTTAACTTTCTTTTTTTTTTGGAAAAATACCAACAAATAGCCCAAGAAAAAGGAAAAAATGTACTCACTTTGACGTGGAGTGCAACTTGCATATGGGTCACCTTCAAATCCTTCAATGCATGAGCAAATTGGTTGATGATTTTGCGTCGTACATCTTGCATTGAATCCGCACGAGCCGTAGCAAGGATCTTGACATTGCTGAGCAATACAAGCACGATTCGAAGGACACTCTTGATGAATCACACATTCGGGTCGGCAATTTGGTGGTGCACCAAGCATACCAAGGGCACATGAGCACACTGCACGACCTTCTACTACGTGACACTCTGAATTTGGACCACAAGCACCAGACAAACATGGATTTGTTTCTGGTGGTGTATCATATGCTGTGGAAATGTGATGTTGTGATTAGTTAATGTGAATAAAATAGTTTAATTTCCAAAAGGGAAATGATGCAATTCTTGTTTGGCGAATTTATGTTAATAAAAGCAAGAATTCGATTATTTTTTTCTCAAATATAAAATTAATGGTCTATCTCACGTCTCGGTATGCATTGTTCAAATGGATCTCCAATGAAGTCTCTTGGGCAGCCACAGATTGGATTGTGATTGATCACTCTACACTCTGCATTAAGACCGCACGTTCCTTCGCATGGATCTCTGCACTTTTGATTAATACAGGCCTCGTGTTGAAGACATTCGCTGCTGGTAACACATTCCGGTCGACAATTTGGTGGATTACCCACAAAATCTGATTGGCACGAGCATGTTGGACGTTCACCAATGACACGACAAATGCTATGGCTTCCGCATGGGCTGGGCTCGCATGGATTCGGTGGTATATCAGCTATTGAAGAACAAAAAATTTTGTTTGAAAAAAGTTCATCTTCTATATCCCGTGTGCAAATAAAGTGACTGACAGTCATTCAGTTGTATGTAGCTGCAAATAACTAAAACTGGCTAAGTTGATTGAATTCAAGAATGTTGTATAGAAACAATCACTTTTAGTTATTCTTTCAGCCAGCCGTCTAATTTCGGACTTTTTGGCTACTAGATGACTATAACTGAAGTTGACTACAGTCGAATATTTTGTTCGAGATAATCACTTTTAGTTACTGATAGTCAGCCAAAAAGTCCGAAATTAGACGGCTGGCTAGTCAGTCACAAATATTTCACACGGGATGCATATGTTTAATTTCCATACGAAAATAATGGAAAACAAATTGAATAAAAATCAAAATTTAAAAAAAAATACTTACGTTTCCGTGGAATTACTCTGCAACCGGTAAATGGATTACCTTCATAGTTTCTTGGGCATGTACAAACTGGAACGTGATTGACAACGCTACACTCAGCCGAAGGACCACAAACACCTGGGCATGGATCTCTGCAATGCTGTCGGATGCAAGCCATTCCACTGGCACAATCGGAATTGTATACACATTCCGGTCGGCATCCGGCACCGTAAGCATCTCCAATGTATGGTGGAATACAACTACATTTGCCGATGCCATTTTCCACGGTACAAATTGAATTTTCTCCGCATCGCGATGGGAAACATGGATCAAGTGGAATTCTTTCGACGGATTCTAATGTACATCCGGTGAAAGCATCACCTCTGAAGCCTGGCAAACAGTTACAGAACGCTGAATGAGCAACGACATGGCATTCAGCGTTTGCTCCGCATGTGTTTGCGCATGGATTTTCGCATCGTTCTCTGATGCAAGCCTTGTCATGAGGACAGTCATTATTCAATACACACTGCGGACGACAGTATGGCGGATGGCCGGTGTAATTTTCAACGCACGAGCAAACTGGATGGCCTTGTTTCACTTGGCAAATCGAGAATGGGCCACACGGCGATGGTGAACACGGGTGTCGTGGTTCTGGCACCTCTTCAATCCGAACTAAATGGCACGATTCAAATGGATTTCCGGTTTCGCCCGGAGCACAACTACAAATTGGATTGTGATTGATTACTTCGCAACGTGCTCCAACACCGCAAACTCCACCAACGCATGGATTGACACACTTCAAGTTAACGCATGCTTTGTTCGATGGACATTCAGAATGACTGACGCATTCTGGTGTACAAGCTGGTGCATTGCCTCTGTAGCCAGGCAAACATGAACAAACCGCACCATGACCAGTTGGTGAAATCAAGCAACGACTGTTGGGGCCGCACGGCGATGGATCACACAGATTCAATGGCGGACGGCTATCATCGATGGGTATCTGCGGTCGAATGTATGGTGTACACGATACGAGCGCATCTCCGGTATGATCTTCTGGGCAGAAACAAACTGCAGCATGATTCACAACTTGGCATAAAGCACCTCTGCCGCATGCATGCTCGCAAGGATTGACGCATTTTTGACCTTCACACGATCGATCCAATGGACAGTCTGGATTTACAACACATTCTGGTCGGCATCCCATCAATGGATCACCGAAATAACCTCTCTGGCAAACACAAGCGAGGATCCCGTTATGTTCTCTGCACTCGGTGTTCGGTCCACATTGGGTTGAATCGCAGCTAGCTGGCACATGTGGAATCGGTTGAATTGACACTGAACAATGTTCAAATGGGTTGCCATAAAGTCCTTGTGGGCACGAGCAAATTGGATTATGATTCACAACTGTGCAAATGGCATTTTGTCCGCATGTTCCAACACACGGATCCAAACAACGTTGATTGATACAAGCTCGACTGAATCCACAATCGCTGTTTGACAAACACTCCGGTCGACATCCAGGATTGTTGTATCCATCTACATTTGAACATACATCACAGACGGCTACGTTGCCATATACATGACATACGCTTTCCGGCGAACATGGTGATGGCACACATGGATTGGCAGTGACATTTCTCAATGGTTGACTTGGTAAGCAGTGAATAAAAGCATCGCCCATGAAACCATCTCGGCAGTAACAGTTTGCAGTGTGATCGTAGACACGACACTCAGCGTTGACACCGCACGTTGATGCCTGGCATGGATTCTCACAGTGTTTGTTGATACAAGCCTTCTGAGCCGGACAATCTGAATTGATTACACACTCAGCATGGCATCCAGTTTGTGGATCTCCAATGTAATCGGGTAGGCATGAGCAAACAGCTCTATCATTCAATACACTACACTGTGCTCCCACACCACACGGAGATGGCCAGCAAGGTGATTTCTTTGGTTCCTCATCTTGCACATAACATCTAACTAGTGGATCACCTTCTAAACCATTATCACAATAGCATACTGGATGGTGTCTCTCAACTTTGCAACTTGCGCCGATTCCGCATGATCCTGGGCATGGGTCGTGACATCTGAATCCTAAGCAAGCATGGAATTCAGAACAATCACTGTCGGCATGACATTCGTAGCCGTGGCATCCTTCAGTTGTTGGATCACCTATAGCAATAAATGAATTGAATTGTGAATTATTAAAGAGGGACTTTCGATCAACACATCAAAACAAATTATTGATATTTAAATCCTTAATCGAATCTTAATTGGTTATAATTGGAACTGAAACCAAATTGTAACGAATCATAATCCAAATCAATGATCCAAATAAAATGACATAAATTGTCTGTCAGTAAAAGTGATTTTACTCATTAGAAGTTTTCAGATTATTTTTTTACCTGCTTATTGTCTTTATGAAATAAATGGAAGAGATAATCAATGCAAAATGAAAAACGATTGCAAGTAAAAGATTCTCTTTTCTCTCTTACCTCCCATTCCAGGTGGACAGTAGCAAATTGGTTCACCGTTCTCTTGAATGAGACAGAGACCGTTTGGAGCACATGGATTTGGTTCGCAAACCGATCGTGGTGGCTCATGACAACCACTGTATGCATCTCCAGTGAATCCGGCGCGACAGAAGCACTGTTCACGACCATTTGCAACGTAACAATCGGCATTTGCTGTTTTGATGGAAAATATAATTTTTTGTCATTGCAGTTTTAATTCGAAGTGAAATGTTTTTTTTTCATTTCTCAAGTAATTATAATAGTCAAAATATTACTTACGTCCACATACTCCTGGTTTGCACAGTTCTTTAACAATAACTGGTGGTTTACATTGTTTGAATGGATTTCCAATTGTTCCTTCTGGGCAATAGCAAACTGGGTTTCGTGCAACATCGCAAGAAGCTCCAAAACCACAAGGGAATGGTTCGCAAGCGCTCTTCGGCTCAACGCATCCACGAATTGTGTTCGGGCTTTCGATATAACCTGGTAAACATGTGCATTTAGCGACTCCATTCGCCAAACGAGTACATTGTGTATTTGGTCCGCATGATGAGACTGAGCAAGCATCTTTTGGTGGTTGACATGGCACAGCTGGTGGACTTCCTTCAAATTCTGGCAAACAGAAGCAAACTGGAGTATCATTGACAACACGACATCCACTGTTTTCACCACAGACATTTGGATGGCATTCATCACCTTCTGGAACTATTAACAGAAACAATTTCTAGCGATTAGTTCACATGAAAATAATATTTAAATGAATGCAAAATACATTCCACACGTATACGTACTGCAATTTTTGAATGGATTTCCAGTGAGACCCTTTGGACAGAAGCAAATTGGATTTCCTCGATCCAATTCGCACATGGCGTTCAATCCACATGGGTTCGGTTCGCATGCATTCGATGGTGGATTACAACCAATTCTTGGATCGCCTGAGTATCCGTTTGGACATTTGCAAATTGGTCGATGGTTCACAACTTCGCACAGAGCCGAAATACCGCACTGGCATGGTGAACCACATTGACCGTTGACACATGCTTCGCTCGATGCACATTCGGAATCGGTTCGGCAACCTTGAAGTCTGGTACATTCGATGTATGCATTTCCAATGAAACCATTTCGGCACGTACACTCAATGCCATGATTTACTGGCGTACATTCGGCATTATCACCGCACGAATCGACTGTGCAAGGGTTGATACAACGTCTATTCAATCGATCGCATAATTTGTTTGGTGGACAGTCTTCGTTGTATTGACAAATCGGTTGATATCCATAAACTGGCGCAAAAAGAAAATCATTTGAAATTTGATTTTAATAAATTTCGGAAATATTTTGAATATTATTATTCGTGAAAATTATTCAAACATTTTTATCGATTATAATGACGCTAGTGCCCGAATGCAAAATGAGGAATGTGTTGTCATTTGCAAAAACTCACCCGGTTCGCATGAAACATAGCCATTGCCAGCAAATCCTTCGATGCAACTGCAATCGCTGCCGTGGTTCACATTGACACAGGCTGCGTTTGGTGCGCATGGGTTGCGAACTTCGCACGGATGGCGACAAGCTCCATCGATGCATGCTTCAGCTAGAGAACAATCTTCGTTGCGTGTGCATTGGACTGTGCGTGCGTTTTTGGGGGATTTGTTTGATTGTTTTTTTTTATTTTTTCAGGTGCGAATGTGAAAGAAAAAACAAGACATTTTGATATGCAATCGGTGTTATTTACAAAAAAATTCAATTTATGGTACAATGTGTAGAATGGTGGAATTGTGTCAAAAATAAAATGTGGAGAAAATATAGGTCAACAATTGTACGCCTTGTTGATTGAATCCAGTGATGAATAAACCAATAGCAAAATGTATACAAAATGAACGGAAAAAAAACTATTCAGCAAAAATTTACAAAACAACAACCCCGAATCGATTTGAAGAAAAAAATTCTAGTCGATTTGCAGAAATTATATACGCAATAACAGTATATAATAATTTTTTGAAAGCCCTTTCGAAAGCTAGAAAAAAAATGGCACTTAATAATGACAATTGTATGATATAAATTATCTTAACCATAAAAAATATCCCCATCTTGAGAGAAATTTGATCGATAATTCCTTGAAATCATTACATCTAAGATACAACTTAAGCAGAAATAAGCACTAAGAATATAAATTAATTTAAGCAAATCGGCCGAAAAATATTTGTCAGTTCAAATTAGAATTATTAATTTGAATTTTGTTTACAAAGCAAAGAGTTTTTAAGCATAGTAGCAGCAAAGTAATAGTAGCAGAAGCAGATTACAGCAAAAGTTTTACATAGAAGGTTTTAATAGATTTTTCTTTCATATATATGATTTAATGACAGATGTGATAGCATGATCAATTGATAATTATTTGCACATGTACCTTTGACGCAATCGTCACTGGTTTTAGTAACGTTACCGTTAGTTTCACACAATCGTACACAATGTTTTTTAACACAGAATTCATTGGTTGCGCAGTCCTTTCTAGTTTTGCACAATTTTCTTGCCGTTTGTGATACGCTCACAATAGTGGTGGTGATATTCTTGCCTTCGGTTACGGTTAGTATTTGGTTAGTGGTTGTTTCCATGGGTTTGGTCGTATTCGAAATGCGTCCAACATCAACTGATGTGGTTTCGACGCTGGTCGATTCCGTTACAATTCCTACTCCTCTAGTCGTTTTCTCGGTTGATTCTGTGGGCAATGTGGTGTCTTCAGTGATCGAACTATCAGTCATTGTACTGATTAATGTGGTTAAATCATCCACTGAAGTTGTTATGTCCGTGACATTATCATTAAGTCGTGGATTTTTGCCCAATGGATTAAATGTGGTCGTTTCACCACTTTCTTCGACGGTTGTCGTTTGGAAGGGAGCTTTTCCTTGACTTGGGAATCTCGGTGTGGTAGTTTTCGTAGTGGTTACTTCATCAATTCCCTCAATTCCCTCAATTGTTGTTCCAGTTGGTGATTTTTTCGTCGTATTTTGAACGTATTTCGGAGTAGTTGGCTCTTGCGTTGTTTTTTCTTCAATTCCTTCGGTTGTTGTTCGTGTCGATGGTTTTCTTCCGTATTTCTTTGTCGTCGTTTCTTGTATTGTTGTTGTTTCATCGCTTCGTTCGGTCGTAGTCCGAGTTGATGGTTTTGTTCCGTATTTCTTCGTTGTCGTTTCTTGCGTTGTTGTTTCATCGCTTCGGTCGGTCGTAGTCCGGGTTGGTGGTTTTCTTGTGTATTTCGACGGCGTGGTTACTGGCGCTTGTGTGATTGGCACTTGTGTCGTCACATCTTCACCTCCTTCAATTGTTGTGGTTTCCGTTGGCACTTTTGTCGTGTCTTTTTCCGTTTGTTTCGGTGTCGTTGTTCTAAACGGTGGTTTTCGTGTTGCTTTGCTTGGAACTCTTGTGTTATTCGTTTTGCTAGTACTTAAAGTAGGTGTGATTGGAGTTTTCTGTGTGCTAGTTGTTAGCCTAGTCGCATTTTCAGCTGAATATTCACACAAAGTAAATGGGTTTTAAGTTTTTCATAAAACATGAACATTAAAATTTATATTATTGAACGATTAACAAAACAAAAACAAATATGGAAATGATATGTACAAAATCAGTGCAAACACTTTAGGGTTAGACATTAAATGTGTATCGATAAATACTACAATATATACACTGTCTTCACATGAAATGGAGAACAACATGCATAGCTCTTTTTTTCATTCTGAACAAACAAAAAAATCTTGAATTTTATCAACACGTGATGGGAGTTGGTGGGGGATATTTGAATTTAAACTGATTGCAATTTTTGTATAATTCAATTGATATGAATTGGTGCCAAACAAAAAACAATTTTTCACCCAACAAATAAATAAATGCTTGAAACGTTCATTGCGACTTGCAAGTGTTTTTGATGAATTTTGCCATCCTTTTTTGTGTTTATTTACACTAACCCTATTTCAAATTGAATGAAAACACGCGATCGCGTGTTCGATGAACAAATCCCTAATTCCTCGATGAAATTTATTATCAAAATTGAATTGAATTGAAACACAATAGAACTGCTGCACCTGTCAATGAATGATCGAAATTACCTTTAACGCATGCGCCAGTGACTGCATCACAAACGCCTCCCGAGCAATGGCTACAATCGTATGGATCACGTCCTGTAAAATTATGATGATGTCGTTCAATCCATGTGCATTTTTTTTTGGTTCAAAATGTGCATTGTTTCGAGAGATAGAAAAATACCAGAGAAATCCCTTGAGAGAAAGAATTTCGAACTCAATCCCCAAAGAAACTTACCTGTATGAACGCAGACCGGTTGATGGTTATCCACATGGCAATCTTGATTTGGCGCGCATTGATGATATGCACACGGATCAACGCACAATGAATTGATGCATGCCTTTTGATGTGGACATTCGACGCTTGATTTGCAACCAATTTCTGGAAAATTTACATCAAAAATGCAATTAATTTCGATTCGAAAATGAATGTATTCAGCAAAAATGAAATTAGCTGCATAATAGTCAAATTACAATCCGAAGTATCGGAATTGCAAATAACGCAGTTTTTAGCGTTATTTTTGTTTGATTTTTTTCTGTTGTTGTTGTTAAATTTAAAAGGTCGACTCGCTGTTTGTGCCAATTTTAGTTTGGCGGTTTAGTTGTCAGAGAAGAGAGTCTTATTATTATTTGTTCAGTCAAATAGTTCTATTATTTACAATAATACAGACTGGTAGTGTTCCTTTACATGTCTACACAAAATCTCGCTAAATACACGCTACTATTTACAGTTTTTTTTGGGTATATGAATATAATACAAGTACCGCTACGAGAAAAAAATGCATTCGATAGTGATAAATAAAATACCATGAAATATGTGCGATTTATGTACAAAGCTACAAAGTTACCATCACCAAAAAGCCATAGGTTTGCATGAATTTTTTTTGTACACCAACACCAAAAAAGTTTGAACAATTTCACGGTATAAAACAAAATCATCCATCGCAGTGATATATATATATATATACATTTTGTGACTTACCTCCATTTAACCTAACCCTAATGTATGTATATATAAAATATATATGGACATTTGCAGTATCGTTTTTTTCGTCCATCATGCGCAATATCGAATGAAGATCCGATCCGAAGAATTAAGGAAAGAAAAATTCTACAAAGTATGGTCGAGATCAGAGTGACAGAGTTTTAGAAAAAAAACTTCACTAAAACATGCGGACCGCAGCTGATTTGCTGCGGTTAGTGTCTATTTTGGTTCAGTTTGGTTGTTCGTTGATCATTTGCTGAATTTATTTAAATATTGTTTGTTGGCAAAAGAAAGGAAAGCGAATATAATTGCTGTCGAATAAAAAGAATGAATCAAATAAATGCCGAGAAAATAAACAAATAGAGATGACATTTTCACCCTAAAATGAGAAGCGCAAAGTGTGCCACAGTGTTCATTCCAACTATAAGAATAAATATATAGTTTTGTTTTTATTTGACTCTCAGAAGTTGAGAAACTGTTTCGTTCAATTCCATTGAATGGCTAAGATATATATAAAAAAAACCAGAGATGCAATGAAGACAAAATAAAGAAGAATGATATTGGCTCAAACTGATGATTCACATGGTTTTACGTCAGTGGGCTGTTTCATGTGAGGGGGCCTTTGGAATTATCATCAGCTGATAAAATAGCATACAGGCAAATACCAAGAAGAGATTCCAGATTGATTTTTTTTTGTTTGCTTGATTTCTAAGACGCATTTTTCTAAAGAAGTTTTGTGAAGTTTTTTATGCAACTAGTAAATGAACACATGTCCTGTTGTTTTCTTTTTACCTGGATTCGATTTGCATTCTTTTATTGACGTCGAATTTTGGGCAATTTCATCACACTGGCAACGGATTTCGTGATTGGTCGTAATGCATGGGACATTTGGAATACAGGGATTATAGACGGAGCATGGATCAACACATTCGAAATTGATACACATTTCCGTATCGGTACAATTAGTATTATGCGTACAAGATTGATTGAACGACGGCGACGTTAAATTGTAAATTGGTGTGGTTGTTTCGTCGATGCTTATCGTTTCGTTTGTAACGGGTGTTGTTGTATCAAATCGTTGTGGGGTAAAGGTAGTAAAATCACTAGTTGTCATTTTTTCACTTGTAATAATTGTGGTCCACGTCTTTGGATCAGTGAATGGGTTAATAGTTGTTCCCATAGTGTCCGGTACTTTTGTCGAATAGTTTGGTTTGCTTTCCGTCGTTTCATCACATGGAGTGGTCATTTCAGTAGTGAACGATCTGATATAATCGTCCGTAGCTGCTTGAGCCGCTTCGGTCATTATTTCATGAACAAATTGCTCCGTTGTAAGTGTCGTAAATTCATTGCTCGTCTGCGTTGTCGAATCAGTAAACATTGGGTTTTCGGTCATTTTTCGATGTTGACTTTCGTCACCAGAATAACGGAAATCTTTCATTGTCGTCGTCACAATATTTTCCGTACTTTCAATTTCACTTGAGCCTGTTGAGGTGCTCAAATGATCATCGAAACCTTCGTTTTCGTGACGCAATGAAGGAATTAAGCTTCGATTTGTGCCTGAACTTGGTTCAGTCACTGAACTTTCTGTTGTTGTTACGTCATAAGCAAAAGATTTAGTCTCTTTTGGCAATGTCATATTTTCTTGAGTCAAATCTTTGTTTGTTGTCGTTTGTGAAGCCAAAGTCGTCATACGTTCTGTCATTGGAGTATTATAGAACAGATCTTTTGGCTGTTTCGTTGATTCTGATAACGTCTGTTCAGGATGAGGCTTAGTTGTCTCTTGAGACTTCGAAGTGGTAATTGGAATTTTGGTAGCAGATTTCTCATCAATGACTAAATGCTTTGTTGAAGATTCTACCTCAGAACTCATTGTAGTGGTAATTATTGGAGATGAAGTAACTACACTTGAAGTTTCATGACCACGTTCAGTGACAAGTGAATCTGGTAGACCTCCCCTGGGAATGACGGTAGTGTCAATACCGCTAATCATAGTTGATTTCGTAATGGAAGATGGAGTTGTGACACCATCCGTAGTTTGACTACTAGAAACTGTTGTAAAACTATCATCAATTCCACGCATTGACATTGTTGTTTCATGATCGATTGATTGAGTTGTAGTGGAAAATTTGTCTTCACTTGGAATAGTCGTTGTTACCATTGAACTAGAACTGCTCGTTTCTAACTGTTCAGTGGTTGTATCAACATATTTTGTTGTTCTTCCACTCTCTGTTGGAGCAAATGAACTACTTTCAGTTGTAAAATCATTCTCTTTTTGTGATACAGTCTCACTTTCGATAGACTGTGTGGTCGAGTGCAGTTTTTCATCACTCACAGGAGTTGTTGTTTCAGATGCAGAACCACTTGATGTGAATTGTTCTGTGGTTCTTTCAACAGATTTAATCGTTTGACCACTCTCCTTTGGAATAATTGAGCTTCGCTCAGTATCAAACGGCTTTTCTGTTGGCAATAAAGTGGTTTCGTGAACGGAATACTGAGTGCTGTGAGACAATATATCTTCACCAGAAGTTGTGGTGGTATCGATAAATTTAGTGGTTCTTTCATTGGGAGCGAATGAGCTGTGCTCTGAAGTAAACGATCTCTCGGTTGGCAGTATTGTAGTTTCATGATCAATAGATTGAGTGATTGGAGATGTTCTTTCTTCACTTGAAAGAGTTGTTGCTTTCGGAATGTGAGTGCTCGTTTCGAACTGTTCCGTGGTTGTATCGAAATATTTAGTCGTTTCGACACTTTCAGTCGGACTGAAGGAGCTATGTTCAGTAGCAAGTGATTTCTCCGTTGGTAGCATAGTCGTTTCATGATCGATAATTTGAGTTGTATAATGTGTTTTCTTTTCTAAAGTGGATTGGGTTGCGACACCATCTGTAGATTGACTACTAGGCACAGTCGTGATTCCGTCATCAATTTCACGCATTGACATTGTTGTTTCATGATCAACTGACTGTGTCGATTTTGACAATTTTTCTTCACTGGAAAGAGTCGTCTCCTTTGGACCAGAGGTACTCATTGAAAATTGTTCAGTTTTGGTATCGAAATATTTCGTTGTTCTTCCACTCTCTGTTGGTGCAAACGAGCTATGCTCTGTGGCAAATGGCTTTTCTGTTGGCAACAATGTGGTTTCATGATCAACAGATTGAGTAGACGACGAAACGTTTAAATCGCTTGAAAGAGTGGTTTCTTTCGAAACAAGAGTACTAGTTCTAA